CTCCGTGGTTTTGTTAATGTACAGGTAGCTGGTATGATGGTGTATTTATTTTTTTATTTGCTTAATATTATATGGGTAGGTACTTATTATTATGATAACTGTTTTGATTGATAGCGTTATTGTGAACTTAGCACTTTGTAACTAGAAGATACGAGGATTAGATAGAATTTGCTGTAAATATAGTGGTCTTTTTTTTTAAGGGGAGAAAATCATCGAATGACTGCTCCCGCCTGGGTGAGGCGGGAGGGAGTGTTAGACTCTTACTGACTAAAAACCGCCCCGTTTCTTCTCCTGCACGTCGAGCCGGAGCCCCGGTTACCCGTTGGGTTCTCCGCGGCTCTGTAACGGTCTTACAATATACTAGCTGCTAAGAATGTAAGACACTTGTAAACTTGAGAAATATTTAATAGAATTATAATTCACTGTTTCCCTGTCCACTGCATGTTGCAGCTTATTCAATTATGTCTAGTTTTGTAACTGTTGACAATGCTCTATTAAGTCGTCTTATTAATAGTATGATCATTATTACACGTTTGTACACTAATTATTGATCCTAAGGTCGATTTCCGTATGGCATAATTTGTACGCAATAACTTAGGGAGGTATTACAAGGGTATTGAAAAATAAGAATAATAATAATTTATATTATCTTAATAGACTGCCTTGTTCGCCGAGTGGTCACAAGTGCGACTGCCCGGCAAGGGGTTTTGGGTTAGATCACCGGGTCGGGCAAAGATTTACTGGGTTTAAAAAAATCTCAGTAGTAGCACGGAGTCTGGAATTGTGCCCGGTATATGGCAATAGGCTCGCCCCATACTACATGGGACTCTTAACATAAATAGTGAAAAGTGGGTGGTACTTTGTACAGTGGCATTAAGTGCCGTAATGTGCACATCTGCCTACCCCTTCGAGAATAAAAGTCGTTGTAGACATCTAATAGTGTCACCATTAACCTCCCTTATTCAAGATAAGTTTGCTTTAAAATCCACGCTTGTAAGGCAGGTTGGAGGTCGCAGTTTAAGAATTTTTAGAAATCACTGCTGTTTGATCTCCGGCAAATATACCTAGTCTCTTAGCCCAATCTTACGTCACCCGAAGAGTGTAACACAGCAGTTTTTTTTCTGTCGCGATGGAAATCCTCATGGACTTCCCACGTCGTGGGGACGACGAGGGGGCGTGCCGGACTCTTACCGGCAAAACCACCGCGGTGTTCCTTCACTGCCTGTGACCGTGACCCGGGTTGCCCTTACGCAATCACCACAATAACACAGCAGCATCTTAAGCTATATATAGTAAGTTAGTGAAATTCTGTAAATTATTCCTTCAGATAAATTATCCTATCAAATAAATGAGCTACAATAAAATAAAAACAAAAATAACTCAACGAAATTATTATCTAAAGTTTCATAAACGCAATGGATAGCGACAATTTTTTTCCTTAATAATGAACAGTAGCTACAGGCTGCTTGCGTTGTCAATAAGAACGTGTTGGGTTAAAGATCAGATGTTGAAAGAGCCGTGAAAGCAATCGTTATACTGTAAAAGGCTTTAAAACTCCATCATAAGCCCGGTATCTTTGGGTATGCAGATGACAGCACAGTTGTTGAAAGGTATGTGTCCGGTGCGCGGACTAGCGGAACACAGATCAAGTCTTTAAGAGAATCCATGGTCGAACGTTTGAACTCGACCTTGAAGGCGGTGTCCGACTGGGGTGACGCCAACTTGGTTAGGTTCAATGCTAGCAAGACCCAGGCGTGTCTATTCTCCGCCAAACGGAGTCAATTTCCGCTGACTCCTACTTTCCGGAATGTATCCGTACCGATAACCGATCGTCTTGAGCTTCTTGGTGTAACTCTGACGCCCACGCTCAACTTTGGCTCCTATATAGAGTCAAAAGCGCAACTGGCTGGTAGGAAGTTGGGTGTCCTTTGGAGGGTGAGACGGTACTTCACGCCGAAACAATTGCTGAGCCTGTACCAAGCACAGGTTCGGTCCTGTATGGAGTACTGCTCTCATCTTTGGGACGGCTCGGCTAAATATCAGCTGGACGCGTTAGAGCACATTGAGAGGCGTGCCAGGAGGCTCATCGACGATGATGCGCTTGTGAAGGCTCGGCTTCAAAGCCTCGATCACAGGCGTAAGGTTGCAAGCCTTTCGGTTTTCTACCGGATACATTTCGGGGAGTGTGCGGGGGAATTGCACAACTTGATTCCCCCTAGTCCTTTCCATCATCGTACCACAAGACAATCCGCGAAGCGTCACCGATTCATGGTAGATGTTCCGCCCACACGCACGAAGCGCTTTGCTTCAAGCTTCCTTGTGCGTACTGCTAAAGAGTGGAATTCTTTGCCAGAGTCTGTATTTCCTGAAGGGTATAACCTGGGAGTCTTCAAGGCCCGAGTGAATAGGTTGCTTATGGGACGACGTGCTCCAACGTAGACCGCATCATCGCTTACCAACAGGTGAGATAGTGGTCAAACGTCGCCCCATCAATTATAAAAAAAAAAAAAAAATCATCTCAATTCTCGTCGACAATTAAAAATAGAAAAATAAATTGTGTTATTTTGAAAAAAAAACAACAACTTGTGTAGGTACATTTATTGTGTAATTGTCATAATATCATATAACATCACGCCTTTTTATCCCCGAAGGGGTAGGCAGAGGTGCACAGAAGTAACACCCACTTTTCACTATTTATGTTATGAGTCCCATGTAATAGGGGGTGGGCCTATTGCCATATACCGGGTACAATTCCAGATTCCGTGCTACTACTGAGAATTATTTAAAATACCCAGTAATACTTTGCCCGACCCGGGAATCGAACCCGAGAACCCTTGCCCGGCAGTCGCACTTGCGACCACTCGGCCAACGAGGCAGACGTAAATATAGTCATGTATCGTTTGTAGAATTTTGTAATACAACAAAATATATAAGTAAGTACATATTATCAAATTCCATTCCTGTGAATTTAAGTATAGCAATTTAAAACAAAAATCATTATATACTTAGTTCATACTTCAATTAAAGATTATTTTCTTAGATATCAAAATTTTATCTAGATATTAATATATGCGAACCTTTTATGATAATTGGATTAAATCGAATGCAGATGCAATATTTAAATTAAAGGTATATTTGCATCTATTGCGATAAAATGATAGATAAGCTAAGATTGTAGGTAGGTAGTAGTTTACATTTTAAGAACTTAAACAATTTAAACAAAATATGGTGAATCTCATTTTACTTCTTAGGAAATGGTTTTATTTAATACTATTATTTTATTTTATGAACTAAAGTAGTCAATGAATACTTATCATTACATAGTATATAAAACAAAGTCGCTATCTGCCGTCTGTCTATCCCTATGTATGCTTAGATCTTTAAAACTACGCAACGGATTTTCATGCGATTTTTTTAATGGATATAGTGATTCTTAAGGAAGGTTTATATGTATAACAAATGCATACTACAACCGTGCGAGGTGGTGCGAGGCCAGGGCGGGTCGCAAGTAAAGAATAAAATAAAATTTGTTTGATTTATTGCAAAATTACTTAGGTAGGTACTAACAAATGAATGATATAAAAAAATAAGTTGTTAACTTTAGTAAAATATTACATAACAATCAATTAAAAATATGTACTTATAAGTAAATTACGTAATAAAAAAAAATCAAAGCAGTAATCGCAGCGGACTATAGAATGGAATTCATACCTCACTGATTTTTCTCAACATAAAAATATATAAGAATTACCATAACAATAGACTTCAAACTCATATCTTATACCAATTATTATATTCACAAGAAAAGAAGACGTAAGCAACTGACTATTAAATTTATATTTATTTGTTTTGTATCACTATTATATTTTCCCATAAGTATTAAAACAATATCTTTGAAATAAACACCTAAGCTACCATGACGAATAAAGTATATGTTCAACAATTTAATTTGAATAAATTTTATTTAAATTATAAATTTTATTTCCTTGTTTTTATATATAAATTATGTCTAATTTCAAATTAATTATGTGCGTGATATTCAAATTTAATCCGTCATTTGATGTTTAGATACAATATTAAATTGGATGTAAATAAATATTTAGGAAATAAGTCAGATGCTAAATTTATTTTATTAATGTTCTTGCTTAAGTTTATGTTCAATAATTTAAATAAGCCTATAAATAAAAGTTTAGTCTTTTAGAATAAATAAAAAGTGTCATCTAATACCTACACGCATAATATTATACGAGATTCATTCATCGCAACATAGTATAAACATTATAGCAAATTTTGATATAGATTTAATGAATGAAATTATTTTGACTATAAATCCTACCATAGCTATATGTATTTAAAATTAATCATTAACAACACTACCATAACCATATGTATTTAAAATTAATCATAACATTATCATAGTAAACTACTAATACCTACTAAATAGTAATTTAAATATAGAAGATCCAACAGTCAAACTATATATAACTATAGTCAAATATAAATATATATAGTTTTGTTGGACATGGCGTTAGATTATAAGGTATACCATGTACCTTTATTGTTAATAAATAAATAATAATAATACTATTGTGATAACGAACGTAATAGAACCATTCAAACATGTTACCTCTACATCCCTACCAGTAATTATGATGGAATGTGCAATGTTTACACATAACAAAGAAGGTAGATATCATATCAGACTTAGGTATTACATGACCAGTGTCATGAAGGGGAGAATAAAACCACCCCTAATAAACCATTGACCGTGGTATTTTCAAAGTCAAAGTCAAAGCATTTATTTCAATTAAACCATAATTTGGTATTTTTGAAACGTCAACAAATACAAAATAAATAATAGTCTGTCAGTCAGTCCGTCAGTGAAGCTGGTTGAAGCTAAATTTACAAACAAATTGAAATAAATATGTTTACAATAAAAACATTTAACTTCCAATGCGTTTTGTTGAATGACTTTGTATAAATAGTAAAATATTACTTACATCGTGGTCCGGAACGTATGTGTAAACATGAAGCTTATCAATCCTTATTGTGCCCTGGAATGGGTACAGTAAGGACCCTCGAGGAAGCTCAGCTGAGGTCCACACGCTGACGGAAGCCTCACGACCTCTCGCGCCACCAGGCCTCAAAGCCAGGCTCAAGTCTTGAGGAATCAACACCAAAGTCTCCATCTTTGAAGCACAGTCTTATTACAAAGTTCCACCCACGGTCACCACATAAATGAGTTATATTTAAAAATGTGACCGGTCTCGTCCATCACACTTAATGAGGATAAATAAATTAGTGTACGAAAACAAAAAAAAATGTCGGGACGTCGGTTCGATTATCGGTCGGCGATGTCGCCAACGAAATATCGGTTGTATGTGATCGATCGCCCGGTGAAATGTCGTTATGTATTAATCACTGCGCGTGAGTTTGTTTAGTGTAGCACGCACTCGAAAAATAATTGTTCAAAGTCAACGAAAAAATGCGCGAACGATACGAATAATGTCCAGAGTTGTAAGTCCGGTAATTCGGTACAATATTACATTACGGCTCTGGGCGGGGTAGTGTACGGCGCATGCGCGGTAGGATGCGCACGCGCTCTTCTCTGAACGTGCACTGAAGGAAGCGCTAACATTGACCTTAGCCGCGGCCGTGATCGCGTTTACAGTTCATTTTTTGTTCGATAAAAAGGAGAGGAGTAGAGCCCTACAACAAATAACTGGCCGAGGCTAAGCTAATCTAAACCTTATTCTTAACGACACAAGGTACGTGAAGATGTAAATGCAATTTTGTAAGGTGTATAGTAAGGTGCTCCCCTCCAAAGGCGGCACCTGCTTGACCGTGTGCCGCCCGTCAGAGTGGCGTAGAGCGCGGTGCGGCGCGCGCGCACCTGATCCACCTGTACATTATTAGACAAACCTTTTTTTTTGGGACCAATTAATTTTTTTCTATCAAAGTCTCGAATGTGTCGGATGCAGCACTAATTTTATTAGTATTCCGATTTATTGCGTGCTTGCAGATAAAAAATAACGGTGTACAAATTTTACTATACCTATTAATAGATTGATTAGTGGTTGCATAAATACTTATGATCGTATGTAGGTAGGTTCAGTATTTGCAATAATTTACGACTAATAAACTTCAGTCTTTGTATCGACGATTTCCGTAAAAGAACAAATTGGAAGTAATTTTTACCTAATAGATGTCCCGTTAATAACCTTCAACTATATTTCTAACTAACAGTTTTAATTAAGAGAAAAGTTAATTTTGTTTCACATATTTTTAGACACAAAATATTTCTTCACACAGTAACACAAATTCGTCTCCTATATTTGACAAATGACCCATAACAGTAAAGCTTATTAAAATATGTAAAAATAGAGAGCCTTACTCTTCTTTGGGACGAGAAAATATTAATTGCTTAATCACAGAAAAACTGACTGTGTTATTTATAAATCACTTACATAACATCACGCCTTTTATCCCCGAAGGTGTAGGGAGAGGTGCACATTATTATTATTATTATAAGTCACACTTGTCTATAAATATCAATTTTATTTATATCCTTTCAAACCTAGTTAATTAATTTAATTGATTTGATTCTGGCATTCATTATTGACGAATGAAGAGAAGCATATAGAACTTTGTAACTTTGTGTACCTAATATTACTAATCATTGTACTAATAGATAGATTCTATAATACTAATAGATAGAATAGATATCAAAATGCTCTAATATTATTTATGTAATGTATTGTGACTCTGTAATGCTAGGTTGTAATTTTTTTGTATTAAAATTATATATTTCCTTGCTGTGCCCGACAGGGTCCACAATCATTTGTATTATTCTATGTTACCACCTAAGTAAAACATAGTGGAACGCAATAAAGAATTTGTATTTGAATTTTGAGATTGGTAATCGTAAGTATATTACACGTACTACACCCGGAATGCCTACAAGTAATTGCTCTTCGCCTACGTTCATGACTTTTCTAAATGACAAGTCAGTGTATTTAATAAAAAACTTCATAACGCTTTATAGCTTTCGCACGCTTACCTCAGCTATTGTTGAACAATGCCATCAAGTTCAAATGTCTTCATTGTCTGTACCATGGAAAAACGCATGCAACATCCATGTTTTATGTTTATAGCAACCGAAAGTTGAATAAATTGGTTTAATTTAAATTTTTACAATTAAGTAACTGATGGTTAGATATAGCATAGTCTTGGTAAGAAATCACTTATTTTAATTCTGTATGGATTTTATTTTTAACCACTTGAATACACCAATATGAGACATAATAGAAAATACATTGTGTCTCGATTATATCCGTGTGGGACGATGGGTTAAAGTAATTATCATTACATAGGTAGGCAGATGATATTAATTAGATTGTGTAATATGGGTCCATGAAAAATATTGACATTTAGCCAAATCTAGGTTCAAATTCAGAGCCAGTTCTAATGCCAATTGGAAAAAGGACAGATTAAATAATGTATTGATAAAGCTGTGACATAAAATGTCTAGTAATTAAAAAAAGATCATATACTTACTTAATATAGAAAAAAAAGGACAACAATCTCAGAAGAAACAAAGAATTACCACGACAATCTTTTCTGTCAACATCACGCCTTTTGTCCTCGAAGGGGTAGGCAGAGGTGCACAGTACATTGTACAGTGGCATTACATACGATGTAACACCCACTTTTCACTATTTATATTATGAGTCCCATATAATAGGGGGTGAGCCTATTGCCATATAATAATACTTTGCCCGACCCGGGAATCGAACCCGAGACCCCTTGCCCGGCAGTCACCCTAGACCAACGAGGCAGTCAATTAATCAAAAGAATCTAGTCGAAATATTTTTAAACTACGAACGGAGGTATCAAATCATCTGTACCAATCAGATACAAAAATCGTCAGTTGCATTTAATTAAAACGACGTACAGGCCGGTATTTTCGAAAAATAATCAAATGAAATTGATCGATATTGCCCACAACCGTGGTGTTATGATATCGGATCCTCCTCATGGAAGACCGCAGGTTTGACACTGAAACGAGCACAACAACAAAGGAATTTAAACCTACACCTCTAAAGAACAGAGTTGCTTTCAGCTGTTTTCTAACAACTACACATGATACGAAATGTCGACGACCTGAACACACCTGCCGCTAACCGCAATCCCACTTGAACTATATTAGGTATGTTATAGGAATTTAAAAACGTGTTACTTACCAGCATGCGACGTGACTCCTGCGCATATGACATTTTTAAATAGGGGTTGTTTTTAGAATTATGCGCAAGAGTAACTAGAAGTCGTTAGATGATCGATGTGAAGTAAATAATAAATAGTAATGTTGATATCTATATATTTTAATAAAATGTGGAGCTAATTGTTAATAGATTTTAGAATACAATTATTTTTTGTCATTAATATTAATAAGGTATTTTTAAGGAAATTTCATTTTACGTGTTTTGAGAATCAGACCTTCTGGTAGATGTCATGTCATGGTCACACTTATATTAAAATGACAATTTAGATATCTATTTATTAAAAAATAAAAATAATTAATGTAACGTAGGTACCTAAGTGAATTAACTTAAAATATTTATTTAAACAATATAACACAACAAAAATAAAAGTACAGGACACTTACTAAAACATAATTTTGCATTTAGTATTTTAATAAATGAAATCCCAAACAAAATACCCTATTAAATAACATACCCAATCAAACGACAAGCATCCAGTAATAAAATCACAACACCATAAATTATTTTTAATTAAAATTAGTATATTCGCAGACAATCGTATTCAAAAAATTCAATATCCGAATTAACTTGCGCATACGCAGAGGGGCGGGGTTTGGGGCGTGGCGTATGAAGGCCGGCCTCCTCGCTGTGCGTTACCGGTGCGCAAGACCTATTGTTAGCGCGACCGACGATTTTTATTTGTCAGTGAAACGAATATTTGTTTTAAAGCCTTTTGATGTTCTATTGTATGTTTGCGTATACGCCTTCTGCATGTGATTGGGCTACAGAAGTATTTGAATTGAACTGTTCGATTTATTGGTCAAAAATGTGAATGTAAGAGAAAAGTAATGTAGATTTTTTTTTAATAATTTATGTATGCTAAGTTCGTAAATATTTAGAGAGGCTTAATGGAGTATTGCGAGTATTTTTTCCAATAAAATAATACGATATTAAAAGGATGAAAGCATGATTTTTATTAAATTGTGCTGATAATTCTTATTTCACAGAATAATACTTTCATACTTATTTATTTATTTATGTTGTTTTTTTTTTATTTTAACGAATTAAATTAATTAATTAAATCGACATACTTACTTACGTATGAATTATTGCGAGTAACACAATACAAACTAAAATTATTAAATATAGGTAAAGTACCTACCACTTGGTAATACATATGTGATATAAGCATTGAAGTAGGCAGGTACTGTTTTACAAACATACATACATATCTATCATTCATGAAAAGAATTCACTTATTCCTTATTTTGTTATAATACCTGTCAAACGTCTTTAGAAAATATACAGGCGTTTATTCGATATTAAACGCAACGGTAGTTTTAATAATCCAATAAAGTGTTGCAAGTAAAACAATTATAGTAGATACATATGTACCTAAAAAATAAGGTGCATTTCAAGTGTGGGAGAGCCATCCTTTAGCATGAATGGTCCAGTTCGATCGGAGTGATACCACGGCCTTAAAGAAAACCGACGTGAAACAACGCTTGCGTTGTGTTTCGTCGTGTGAGTGAGGTTACCGGAGGCCCAATTACCCCTGGCCTCCTTTCCCAATCCCTGATTCCCCAAAAATCCTCAAATCCCTAATCCTAAAGGGCCGGTAACGCACTTGTAACACCTCTGGTATTCCAGGTGTCCATGGTCGACGCCGATCGCTTACCATCAGGTGATTCGCATGCTCGTTTACCGGTTTATTCCATAAAAAAATTAGGATAACATAGGTAAAATTAATGTCACAAATTTTTCACTCCTTTGAATGTTGCCAAAGAGAGCAAAGGAGCGTATGTTGTGTAAACAAACAAGGTGTCTTTGACTTCACAGTAAATAAAAGGTGAAGAACTGCGGACGAACTGGTGGGTTACCAGGGCTCCAGCTCTAAGCACGTGTTGGGATGGAGTGGTTTTCAGTCA